AATAGCTAGCTGCTAGAGCGTTGGGCTACCGTGCCGAAGTGCGTACATTAGAATTTGCAAGATTCTCATCATTCATCATTCTCTAAAATTTCCTTTCGGGGTCGAGTAAATCTTCTGTTATTCTTAAGTCTCTTTATTTTTCATTTTTTAATATATTCATTAAGATTCTGTATTGGTATTGAATCTTGCAAGATTCTAAGTATCGTATTTAAAAGGGTCAGTTTGTTATTTTTTTACATTTTGTTCTTAAGTACTTCCACTTGACTGAGACTTGAGAGTGCCTTGGTAGATACGTTGCATCTGTATGCATCTTCCATCGCATATACCACGGAGAGTGCTCAGAGGAATTGTTCGGTAATTGATAGAATCAGGCGTTACTTTGCGGAAATCCATTATAATAAAGATATTAATAGTTACTTTGTAATCATCCACTCAATTAAATACAATAATATATAGTGCACGCAATTGAGGGAGGGCGGGAGGTGCGCTTCAATCTAGGTAAGACACATCTTTGTATTTAATTGAGCGGATGGTTACAAAGTAATTATTAATATCTTTGTTGGAATTTAATTTGAAATTCCAATAAAGATATTGATAATTACTTAAAATAATTAATTAAAAATATTGTTAAATATATGAAACGGAACTTGAAATTACATCTATGTCATCACGATGTATGGCAGTCCACTAGCTTACGTTTTACAAATATCTTTTTACCAGGCAAGACCACATTGTAGAATTTACTGTCGCCAGCGGTTTTTCCGCTCCGGTATTACTTAAAGCCTTCCTTGATTAAAACTACTTTTACGGATTTTATCGTGTTTAATTTTAAATGATTTTTGATTCCCGACATTTCGGTGCACTTTTATTATAGAATAAGAGTGACCAATGAGCACACAGCCCATCTGATAGTTACTGACCTACTAAAAAACTGTGACCCATAGACATCTACATGTATCTTCGATTAAGAATAAAAATGTAGTTGCGTTGTCACCACTGAGGACTAAGATGGAAAATACTTCACGAAATGCTTCGTTTCCAGTAAAAAAGGGTCTCCGGATCTTTACCCTCACCATACGAAACACAGCAGTATTCAGCTGCTATTTTACGCTGGTATTCTGTGAGAGCGTGGTCCTTCCCCGGTCGAGCCGACCCATTCGTGCTACAACCATAATATAGCTGCAGCGTGTCTCTACCATGTATAAAAATGGATTCTCATTCTCCAGAAATTGACCTTTCCTATTGTTTTTAATGTTACTTTTATGCTATAATAAAAAGTTACACCAGCAATGTTGTTAAAAAAACTTAGTTTCTCAATAAGCTGAATTGTTCGGTATCATTAAAATAATCTAAGTAGACCCAAAATAAGGCTTCCGAGGTCTGATCTGCGCCAGCTCCTGCTAGTTTCGGACCTGAAATTATCACGGGTTCTCTCTCTCTACTGCTTCTTCTTTCTGACAGTGCTCGGAACGACCGACTGTTCAGCGGCCATCCATCACTCCTAAGCACTTTAAAGCGTTTCAGAATATTTAAATCAAATTCAAATTATAATTAAAGAAATTTAAGTTTGTAGGTGAAATTTTATTTTACTGCAAAAAGGGGATTTTCTTAGCAAAATGAATAATGACTGCTTCAAGTCTCGATCTTGTTCCGTTTTTATTTGTGTTACTGGACTTTCGCTTCGTACAAATCCCAAAGATATTTGTACCTCTCACAAATTATTGATTTTCGGTCTGGAAGTACTGTTTACTCGATCCATTCATGTTTATAACACAGTATCAAACCTTTTAAAAACTTCTTATAATATACGAGCAACCAGAGTTCGATATATTTACGGTAGGAAAAATATAGGGATTGAACTACAATAGTATAATTTATTTTAACAACAAAGGGTAACTTGATCTTAAAAAATATCTAACTAACTTTCTGTCCACAACCGAATACGCCACATATTTGACATCTAGACATATTTGTTTTAGATTACATAAAATTCCATAGGTGAAAAATAAAAAGGCACATTGTAACTTTTACAATTATAGTAAACTAAACATCTATTTAAAAAAAATATTGACTGGAGCGAACTTTCAACATATATGGCAAAGTAAACAACGTTATCGATTTACAGCGACCCGTCCCGAATTCGCTGTGTAGGATTAATCGATCGTCGTCGAAGACTAGTTATTTAAAAAAAATATTTTTGGATTTCTCAAAAAAAACTGAGTTTTCGGATAAAATATAGCGTAGACCACTCCTGGCATTGCTCTCTATCTGTGTATGAGCCAAGTATAAGGACTTAAAATTGTTTTAATTTCTCCAAAGTGAACGTAGATAAACAAAGTACGTTATTAACTTTTTTTTCTTTTTTTTATAGAGTAGGGTGACAAACGAGCACACAGTCCACCTGATGGTAAGTGGTTGCTGCGGCCCATAGACATCTACATCTATCCTCCATTACAAATCAAAATGCAGATATGCGTTGTCACCCGTGAGGACTGAGATGGAATGCCTCGTTTCCAGTAAAAAGGGTCTCCGGTTCTCTACACTCACCATACGAAATACAGCAGCATTAAGCTACTATTTCACGCTGGTATTCTGTGAGAGCGTGGTCCTTCCCCGGTCGAGCCGACCCATTCGTGCTACAACTTTACTACTAATATAACTGCAGCATGGCTCTACCACGTAAAGAAACGTAACTATAATACGTGAGGGTAATATAGTCATTCGGTTAATATGGTCACTTTCTTATAACTCAAAACCTAGAGCTTTGTTTGCATAGAATGTTCTGTGATACGATAGCTCTTCATCAGTCAATCAAATAATAAAGGGTCAAAAGGGCGCTGTTTTATCGACGCCATTTTGACAGTTGAAATTATAGTAAATATTTAAGTCGATTTTAGTACAAATTGTGTAGTGTAGTTAGTTTCTTTAAGTCGAATTTTCGAAGTGTTCCTAATAATTGCCAAAGCTTGTTTGCTATTGTTTTCTTAATATATTAGTTGTAGTTTAAGGCTTTGCTTTTTTGTCTCTGTTTTGCTCTTAGTTTTGGTTTTATATGGCAGCAAAGCTTAAGGTGACCATACCCTCAAGACTTAAGTCGTATTGTCGTTATTATACGCAAAGGGACTTATGATTGGGACTCGTCCCGTGACTTAACTCTCATAAAACTTGATCTTTATTCCGTTTCGTTAGTCTCTTAAAGAGGTGTTTTTCCCATTATCTGGTAACTGGCTCAAATTGTTCCAGACCATAAGAAGCTTAAAACCATGGTAAATATTTATCGCTCTTTTTCGTTGATCCCCATGTTGCACAAGGTATACCCACAACTCAGCACGGTTTTCTAAACTTCTGTAAACTGAGCATTATTTTCCAATTTTATCCTTAATCTAAAGGAAAATGTGGGCAGGTTAGTGTGGTTTATATGGGTTTTGAAAAAACTTTCGACCGTGTGGACCATGACATTCGTCTTGATCGGTGATCTTCTGCGATTGGTTCGTCCCTCCCTAACTAATGGGCCTCCAATTTTTGTTTTTAGCGGTTACACGAGAAGATCTCATTTTGTCTGATATTCTCTCTCTTTTATAACGTCTATACTGAATGACCTTTTTACCGTTTTGAAAAAAAATAGGGTGTAATATGTGAACGGAATAGAAGCCTATGGCACTGATATTTTACAAAAAAATTTGAATTAAATAAATAAATTAAATTAAATCTACCGACATTCAAATCATATCTCCTACTTAGACGGCTTGATTTAAGCAGGACTTCCGTAATTTTGACTCTGTCTTACGCACGTGCCGTCTATTCACATGTGTGCTATCATTCTGAAAATTTTGTATGACGCTAATGTTCAAGGCACCTTATTGTTAAAACAACTACTTAAATCGCATTAAAAATACAAAAGAAATTTCTTCATTATCTTAATTTCAAACGTAGGAAAATAAACGTTGATACTACATATGTAGAGTAATGTCACGCATAGCTCTAATATTTGTTGGTTTTTCTATTCAACAAATTTGTTTAGGTTTTATAATAGCATCAGTTTCATTTTGAGTCCCTCCCTTAGTTGTCCGTGAGCTTCACCGACAAATGGCTAAGCTAGGCCCCCAAAACTACGATTCATTTTCAAGGTATCCTCTGAAAACTTTCTTAGGTTAAATGAGCGCCGGCCAGTCTGCTACTCGATATATCCCGCGGCGGTCTTTATTGCCTTGAACTTGCCGAACTCATAAGCTTATTTACGCCAAAGCGTCTTACATGAAGTAAGTGTACAATTTCATACTAATAACTCCTGCCTTTGTGCCAAAAATGAAAATCGTTAAATCTGGATCCAGTAGATAAGTATGTAGTAGAAAAATAAGATAAAAAAAATTAAAGCAGGAAAATATTGCCTTATAATAAAACTTCAAGTGGCTCAACGAGCTGTGGAGAAAAAGAGTTCGTAGTTTCGCAGCGTGATAAACACTTTAAAGAGGATAATCGCAGCAATATCAGAGTAAATTTCATAGACCAACAAATCATTAAGTTGAAGTGTCAATGGGTCGTCGATTTATCCCAAAACCCTCGTAGCAGCAATAACAATAAATCGCGACCACCGTCTAGATGGAGTGACGATCTGATGTGAGATGCAGAGTTGATAAATGCAATGGTTCTACACCATGATTTACCGGCATATTTATGTCAGTAAGAGACGTGAATGGATTGCAATAGGGAACAAAATCAAACCTTTATATATCCTGTTTCCTCGAAAGGTCCACGCCCTTACTGTGACTCACTGGCTATTAACATTAAAGCTAACTAAGCCCGATAACTTCGTTTGGACGTTAAGAATTAAAAAAACATATTTTTTTAAACATTGTCTAAGAAAACTTAATTAGTACAAAGGTTTCTTTGAATTCCGAATCAGTAACTTGTTTATATTTGCGATCATGTTCTTTGGTATGCTGATGAATCCTTTTCACGTTAATTTTTAGCACGGCTAATATTAGTCGATTACAACTTACCTAAAAAAAGGATGAAATACAACTTCAAACCCATCTTGCAAACACTTGTAAAACGAGGAAAAACCTATGATTGAAAAAAAAACCCACTTTCAAGGTACCGCGACCCGAGAAATTGTTTTATTCGATTTATATCACGTAGACATTAGAGTTTTTTTATTATTAGAATCACTGATTTCGATTTTTAAAAGAAATGATGACAGTTTTTATTCCAAATACATTGTTCCGTGACAAAAACGTGTGAGCCGGACAAAAAGCAAAACAGTACTGATGATATTATATTTAATGTTCTTGAATATAGCAAGGTTTCATCATAACCGGTTTAATCACTAACGATATTATAGATACTATGAAAATTAAAACCAAATCTTTTAAATTATCTAAACTATTCCTATACAATCCAGACTATGTAGACACTTTGGCTATATTTGGTGTCTGATCTGAATAAATTATAAAATGGAAAGTCCAGTTTATTTACGTTTGCTCATGGCTCGCGCTTGAGAACTGACAATTACGTTTTACGTTATCGCCTCCGGCACAGAATGAATAATAGTTACCTCCGGTAAGGTCAACTCTGGGAAAAAATATTATGTCGAATTGTTTCAATAAAAAGCCGAAAATAAATGCCGGTAAATACCTATGTACTTATTTTTCCGTTACATTAGGATTTCCGCAGAAGTCGACGAGATAATTTGACTTATCCTATCATTTTCCTATCAATTTATAAAACCTTAGAACTTTGATATGTCTGTAATAAAGCGTTGACCTAACTTTAATGTGGGTGTAATCAACTATGACCGTATTTTGTGGAACTCCTTGGAGAGACTTATGATGATGGTGATAATGGATTAAAGAAGCAGGCAAGCCGGGGCCAAGCCAGCCAGTTATGGTCTAAGCTAATGAGAATATTTCTTTAGCTTGATACAGTCCTTTTATTATGCGCCGATTGAAATGAACAACTTGAAAGATTACAGCTTTAAGAGCGTTGGTTAAGCGCAAAGCTAAATATCCTTCCATTTACTAATTGTTTTTAGCCTTTTCTTCCCTCCTTCTATTTCCTGCTTTATTTCTTCTTAATTAATAACACATAACTTATTTATACATAACTTATAGGGTCCCAAGCAGGTGGTAGTAGTAGGGTTCGTAGTAGTTGGGACCCTATAATCAATAAAATTAAAACTAAACCCAAACATACTACTGCAAGACCTCAGGACATAGTCAGTTAATTTTGCATAGATCGGGCCATAAACAATAATTAAAAAAGCTGAAGGTACTCCGGGTTTAACAATGACATCGGGATGTCGGTCACCTTAGTCTCCGGTTACCATGGGTGCTGGAAAGCACCCGAAACGTCGGGAACTAAAAATAAAAATAATAAAAAGTAAAATTAAACGCGATAAAATCCGTAAAAGTAGTTTTAATCAATGTGTAGTGTTCGCGTAAATGTAAGAAATTATTAACATATTATCTTATTATAAATTTATGGAAATATAGATATATTTTTTAATCCCCAATCCGAAGAATATGATCCCCAATTTTAACAATTGGGGATCATATTCTTCGCGAAATTAATAGAGTAAACGTTGGAATACAAAAAGAGGATATTATCGTTTCGCATTCTGTGGCGATAATGCCAGGTCTTGTTAAGATCTCGCAAGGAATGAGAAAAAAAACAATAGTACATTTGTTCAAAGAAGCTGCACCTGTATCTATTAGAAAAGTTAGAAATCGAGCCAGTCCGTAAAATCAAACGAATTTCCAAAAAGTAAAGGAAACACGATGAAATCTGCGAGGATGAATCAAGAAAGTTAGATTCAAATAGTTTATTTTCCAAAGATATAAAGTAGTGTTTGACAAAATTTTAACAGAAATTAAAACAAGGGTAGAGAGCCAAAAGAGTCTACATGAAAATTTCGCCTTCCTTAGTTGCCACGCGTTGTAAAATAAGTCGACTTAGGATATACGAATAAATGGAGTCGATCTATCTCAATAATATTCTAAAGACTTGGATCCTGTTGATTTGTTGTCAGGAACTTGCAGTTTTTAAAGAGCTAGTAACCGAAACTTTTATAAAAATCAAGTGCATGCGATCTGTGCAAGCATTACTTGCTAGTAGCGTTTCCTAATATTATTATAGCTTTTAGAATATACTGAATATTACTTACGACATTTTTTTTGAGAATTACCTATTATGGCTATCTACATAGTATGGCTTCAAGAATATACAGAATATTACCTACGGCATTTGCAAGCTGTGAGCGAAGCTTCAGCAAACTGCAAATAATTAAAACCTGTCCGCGTTCAACAATGAGTCAGGAACCTGGCCTTGCAATCCTAGCCATTGACAATAAAACTGACCTTGAAACAGAATTTGATGAGCTAATAGATTCTTTCGCAGAAAAAAAAGCACGCCGTGTAAAGCTGTAGCGAGATTAAAGAGAAAAAGATGCTGAGACCTAAAGATCCTAATAATGTCTTTATTGTCTGTTTTCATTCCTGGTTATTTGTTTTTTATATATAGCTTTACGTTACACAAATGAAAAAGTTATCTTCTAATTGGTAATAAATAAAGAGTTCAAATTTATTAAAGGGTTCTTAGTGTACCAATCAAAAAAAATGCCATTATGTATTTGTAAGTTTTTTTTTATAATAAGTTATCTAAAATACTGGTGAGAGGAGGCGCCGCTCAGCTTTTTGCCCCGGTTCAAAAAAATCGTAGATTCGGGGCTGCCTACATAAGACCTTTATAGTATTTCCCACATTTATAGATATATAGGAATCTACAAAACGAGAAAGCATAGTATATTACGTGCTTCGTGTGTTGCATGCCGTCTCTAGTCCTGTTATTTCATAACTTTTATAAACGGTTGAAATAATACTAGTTTTTACGGAATTTATCGCGTATATTTAACTTTTTAAATACCCGACGTTTCGAACGCTTTACAGCACTCATGGTCACGGGCGGGACTGAGATGTTCAACGTCCATATGTAGTTAACCGCGGTTACCATAGATTAAAATTTAACTTTTGTTCCGATCTGTACAGTATGAACTTATGGTATCTTGAAGTCTTGCAGTTGTATGCTTGGGTTGGGATTTAATTTTATTTATTATAGGATCCCAAGCAGATGGTAGCACCCAGCCATCTTCTCTATTGAAATTAGGATGTTTTTTGATTTCAATAGCCTCACGAATCATCCTTGGAAGGAATCGGTGTTCTTTAGCGAGGATTTGCGGTCTATCAAATCTGATGTAGTGACGGGGGCGATCCTGTACGTGTTCACAGACTGCAGACTTCCCGGAGCGTCGATTCTTCACATCAGCTATATGTTCTTTAACGCGGGTTTTTATTGATCTTTTAGTTTGTCCTAAGTAGGAGAGACCATATTCACAATCAAGCTTGTACACTCCTGCATCTTGCAGAGGGACATTACATTTGACTGATGGTAAAAACTAACCAAACTTCTTCAGCGGCTTGAAGTATGTTTTGATGGAAGCGCACTTCAAGATGTAGCCAATCTTGTCAGTGACTCCTCTAACATATGGCAGTACAGCAGGTACACGCTCGACTGTGGCTGGCTTCACTCGTTCACTGTGACGTAGGCGCGGGACTCGAAGCTTGTTGTCATGCAAATCTTGCTTGACATGGTGGAGCTCGGCAGCCAGGTGTTTACTGTCACAGATCCCTCGTGCTCTCTGAAACAAAGATTTACCCACGGTAGCTAACTGTGAAGGATGGTGGTGAGAATCACCGTTTAAATATCTATCTGTATAGGTCTTTTTTCTATACACAGTATGGCTCAAGTTTTATAAACGGGTGATGTACGGATATGATATCGGAGGCAATGCGAGCTTTCTATACTTTATCATAGGCGCCTCTTACGACATCTACAGAACGGAGAAGTGATAGATGTAATAGATTTGTCAACCATCTATCGTTGACCAGAACATCGTTCAGATGATTAGGAACCCGTTTAGCTTTATTTATCAAAAAATAATCGCAGTATAAAATTTATAAAATATATGAGCCCAAAGGGCCTCGCATTCCGAAAGTTCATAAAATTTTTATTCATAAAAATGCGGTTTCTCCTGTCTAGCGCTCAATTTCCCATTACATTTTCTTCGTGCTAAGTTTACTTGGTTTCTGAGCCAATCAGATTATAGCTGGTTACTATAAAATGGTCTAAAATGTAACTGGAGAAACTTTTTACTTTTAAGACGATCTTATTTTCATCATCGACATTATTTTCGTTAGTATTTTACGGACGTATACACATAATTTATTTGACCTTAGGATATTGAATGATTTTTGAGTCATTTAGAACCATCTTGTAACTTCATGACTTCTGTCCTACCGATCAAACCTTTTTAGATCTAAGACGACTTTTCTTAATTAATTTTACGTCAATTCCACGTTCATGTAGGTTAAATATAGTGACTCCACAGGTTAGGTCATAAAATGAATCTGGACAAAACAAATGTGTAACGTCGACAAGTATGTTAACCTAGGACAAATAGTCCGACTAAGTAAGTCGAAACAAAAAAAACAGGTGGTTATTGGGAAACTACACTCACATTTATTGCAGATTACACTTTCATAGATTATTCCACTACATACCCTTACCATATGTACTGCACTTATGACCTGGATACAGGCTTCATAAATCTCAAGGATTGCACTAAGGGCCAGAGTATTAATTTGCTCAGCCTATCTTGCCAGAGAGAACTCAGATCCTACCATCGAGTTAGAGCGAGTGGCGGAGTTTGCCTGAAAAGACAACGCCGAACTTGTGGTGGGTTGTGATGCTAATGCTCACCACACAGCCTGGGGAAGCACTAACATCAACGAAAGAGGTAAGTTACTTTATGATTTTCTCATCTCAAAGCGCCTGGCAAGCCTAAACTTAGGGTGTATACCAACCTTTGTTACGCGTGCCAGGCAAGAAGTGTTAGACATAACCATTGCTACCAATAAGATCTCCAGGCGGATAAATGACTGGCATGTTAGTAGTGAAAACTCGATGTCTGATCACAAACA